CGCCGTCTGATTCATTGGGCCTGGGAGAAAATACGGCCAAAAACCCATCAAAGGTTCCCCCTACCCCAGGTACGTTAATTAATTAATTAATTAAATTAATTTCAATCTTCTCGCCTAGCTACGCCTAATTAATGAAATAAAATAAATATTTAATTAATTTATAATATATATATATACATATATTGCAGAGGATATTATAGATGCAGTAGCTCAAAAGGATGCCCGGCCAGAAAACAATTAGAGAGAAGTAGGGTGGACTCCAACATGCTAGTGGTCACATACTACAGTGAACACAACCACCCTTTGCCGGCATCTAGAAACAGCCACCACCGCACAACCGCGGCGGCGGCGGCGGCCGCCGCCGCCACAACAACTTCATCGGTATCCGAAGATGAAGAAGAAGAAATGGAGGAGGAAGAGAAGAAGCCCACGAATCTATTATCCAATATTAACAATCAATCTTCTCAAGAACAAGTAGTGGTTAATCCCGATCATTACAGATTCACTAATCTCGGTGAAGGGCCGTTGTTAATCAACGGCGGTGAATTTGGATGGTTTTCTGATTTCGAGTCCACGTCATGCACCATGCTGGAGAGCCCGATTTTAACGGAGGACGACGGAATTAATATGGACAACGAAATGGCAATGATTTTCACAATGCGGGAGGAGGATGAGTCGCTCTTCGCAGATCTCGGCGAGCTGCCGGAGTGTTCGACGGTGTTCCGCCGTGGGATGGCCCAGAGAGAGGCGGTGCAACGGCGGCCTAGCTTGGCCAGCACCAGTTGATTTATATATATATACATACACCCATGTGCCGGCCCCACCCGACCCGTTTGTGCGTGAGATGAACAGATTATTACTGCTATTATATTTTGATTTATGGAGTATCGTACGTCGACAGTTAACCTAGTTTTTGTGTTTGAACTTTGAAGAAAAAGGGTATTTCACATTTTTTTATTTTTATGTAATTTTAAATAAATAAATAAATAAATAATATAATTGTTATATCAGTGTAGTGGTTAGGGAATAAATTAAAAATTGTTTTGATTGGGGGTTAATGTCATAATCTTCTTGTAATTAGCACCATTATATTATAATTCGTCCGTCGGTTTTCTAACTGCTACCTTATAATTTTCAATATATATATGTATCATCTAACAATATTGTATTAATTCCAGAAATATAATCATTTAATTATGATTTCAGCATTATTTTATTCAGAAATAATTAATGATGCAATGCACTCTTTTCTTCGGAAAGTCTAATTATTTTGGTTTAGAAAATAAGCAGAAATTATACATATATATATGTACACAATTATGATTATGAAAAATTCTGGTAATAACTAATAAGTAAATAAAACTGCTAAGCCCCTAACATGTGTAAATTTCCATGAAACTAGTTTTGTCAATTGATAATAGTTAGGTGACATATATGTTTTTATAAAAGATTATATTCCATCGTATTGATTATCCAAGAGTTGACTATTAATTATTTAATTCAGGAAAAATACTAACTTGTGATTTATTCCACAACTATATAGTATGAAATATCTGCCTCTTGTGTATTGTTTATAATAAGGAGATCTAGCTATGCCAAAAGTTTCCTTTTTTCCTTTTAATCTGAAAAAAAGCCATATAATTACATTAATAATATTTAAGCTAATGATAACAAACTAAATTAAATAATTAACACACCTGTGATGAAAATGGACCCCAAAATATTATGTTATCATAGTTTTTCTTTTTGGTAATGAAGGAACATACGACCAATCAAATATATACGTGCACTAGTAAAACATTAACGTTCTCGTATAATAGCTTGCAAACCATACGAGTGACGTAAACTACACTGGGCTAACCATGTACGTATGACAAGTTCCATCTAGCGACATGTGACAAGAGAATTTGAACTTAGATCAATTGACACATGTTCACTTACTCCAGCTACTAAGTCATCCCTTACAGAACATCGTGATAATTTAATTGAAATTAAACTACTTGATTTCAATTAATTTGTTCATATATATATATATATATATATATATATATATATATATATATATAATCGTCAGATCCAGTGCTCCTAGTATATATTAGCTAGATAATCATTTTAAAGACAAAACCCCATTAATTTGTATAAAAAGAAGTTGCAACTTGACAACTAACTCCCCAAACACTTGATGGTATGAGACAGTCGAAAGCTTATTGGCTTACTATGCTCAAAAGTCAATACTTATAACAATAAATATTGACTTTCTTTGGTGATGAAATATCCTTTGGATCCAATCTCGAAATATAATAATACATAATATATTAATGTTTACTATTCATGACTTACATGTTGGTTGCATAACATGATTAATTTTTCATGGAATATATATAATTCACTTGCTTGAAATTGAGAGCACTTGCAACATATAAGAATAAAAAATATAATCAAATTAAAATTAAATGTTATATGTAGATGTATTGTCAATGATATAAACAATATCAAAATCGAGTTTTAAGGAATCATTCTATTTATATTCGATTATTATTTTAAATGTACAAGTAGTAGGTATGCGATTCCTTACAAATGAGTAGCCACATTTGGCCTTTGAATCATTAAATAATAATTGTCCAATTTGTTTATTAGTTATTTCTAATTATAATGTATGTGATTAAAGAGATAATTAGGGAGATAAAATTCTAGTTACTACAAGAAATTATTTTGCAAACACCACCATAATCGAATTTGTATTTACAAGAGATGATAGAAAAAGTGTAGTCTAATGGTGTCATTAAGAAAGTTCTAATGGCCCGTTTCCGTATAATATAACTGGTTACGGGGTGGCAAGTTGGTGCATGTTCTAGAATCGAGTGCTGATAGTTGTAATATCGGAATTTTAACTTCACCGAGAAGTGGTTCTTTAGCCCAAACCGAGTTACTTGAAGAACAGGGATTTCGCCTTTTGATGCAAGAAAGTTTTAATGAGTCCCTTTCTTCGTGTGAAAGTAGACCCCACTTGTTACACGTGCATGATGTCATTGCGTCAGATGCGATTCCTTGATAACGTCATTTGCGTTAAGATAATTGATTAACAACTCCAAATCCTCCTCTATCTTATCTGTTGTAGCATTGGGCAGATACACACTAATTATTCTATGCACACAAAAATATTATTTAATTTTTAATTCAAGAGAAGATAAAAGATTAAAAGTAATCCTACCAGATCTGGATCATCTTCCAATCATTGTCCAAAAATCCATTGCAAGAAGCCAAATAAGGGTGAGAGTAAAATGTAATTTATATCCATTTTCTTACTAATATAAATATGTAATACATTTAAGAAAATATTAAATGATTTATTAGTATGCAATATTAAATTTATTGAAGGCCAATCAATTAAAAAACAAAAAGTCCAAAACGAATTCCATCACATTAACAGATCGAACGGCCCAAAAAACATCCTAATATTTCATAAATGAACCTAAAAATATATATAGAGAAATTAGAATCACAATAGTGTCTATTTGGCATTCCTTCTACAAAATAGCACAGATTAAAGCAATATAACCACCAAATGTAAAGAATAATTAAAAAAAAAAAAACAAAAAAAAAATTATAAAAAATATTGAAAATCGACGATTCTTCGGGATAACACGAAAGCGAATGCAAAGTAAAAAAAAACATGTTAATGACGATAGTGGAAAACTTTTAATATCTATGAGGAGCAGCAACCACCTTTCTTGATATCCGAAACATCTTTACTAACATCGATTTTCTCACCCAGTGAGGGTACATTTAGCATGGGGCCATCATCGCCCGTCTCAATGGCTTTCTTGCTCACGATCCGATATATCTGAGTAAGAACTTCCGTAAACGCACTGTCCACGTTGGTGGAATCGAGTGCTGAAGTTTCCATGAAGTAGAGCGACTCCCTCTCGGCGAACGAAGCTCCACCGTCGGACGAGACAGCCACCAGATGTCGGAGATCGCATTTGTTGCCTATTAGCATCACTACTATGTTGGGGTCCGTGTGGTCCCGCAGCTCTCTCAACCACCTCTCCACGCTTTCGAATGTGGAGTGGCGAGTCACATCGTACACGAGCAATGCGCCAACTGCACCGCGGTAGTATGCACTTGTGATTGCTCGATATCTGGTTCAAGGGAAGTGAAATGGACTTAAATATAACCGTAATGACTATATAATAAATATAAATGTATTTCAAATAACACGAGTTATTGATCGTAGCCATGTTTGTAGGATGCTTTGAATAATTTTAAACGAGATTTCAAGGCCCGGGTAATGCTCTGGTCTATGATTTTAGCAAACCGTATATTTTATCGGGTGTGATTTGAGGCTCTATGCTCTTACACCAAAAGAGTACCTAAACTCAGCCTCGCTCGCAACTTTTCGATTATCTAATTAGCCAACCATTGAATTGTTTTATATGTCATTACTCATTCATATCTATAACCTGCTACATATGATGCAGTTCACGAATCTATCGATGATGGTTGGCAAAATGCAATAACTCTATAATAAATGTCACAAAAATCCAAATATGAAACTACACGAAGACCCCAAAATCCAAGATCCACTTTGACGATACTATTTAATGTCGAGACAAGATGTTTATTATGTATATATATGTAGATGACGCAAATTATTTTTGAACAAATGCTCAACGCCTACGGGTCTGAGAACTCGATTCTTACATTCTGAGAACTTGTCGTGTTGAAATTCGGCAAAACAAATAGTCTTAACAAATTAGCATATAAAATAAACGAACCCCCACGGGATCTATCTTAGTCATAAAGGCCGAAAAAGTACTGTATCCTTCGCTTTTTTTTTTTGTTCGGTTAAAGATTGTGATGCCACTTAGATTTGCAGTAATAGTAAAAAAATCTATGAACACTAAGACCAAAATTGAAAAGTTTCAATAGTAAGATACCAAGATCTTTACATACTGATTCCTGATTCCTGATTCAATAACAAGATCACCTACCAATCAATTTGAATCTAATTCCAAAATCAGGTGATCAACAGATACGATCCAGATCTACACCCCAGGCAATTCCAGGTTTAGGGTTTAGCAATTCACACCAAACAGAACCAATACTAAGATCCATCTTTCACTATCACAACAGCAGATACTTACCAATGCAGGAAAACAGTAATTAAAAATAATAAAAAAGAGTGATGAAAAATGTGACCTCTCCTGGCCGGCAGTATCCCAAATCTGAGCCTTGATCACTTTCCCGTCAACGGTCAAGCTCCGGGTGGCGAACTCGACGCCGATGGTTGATTTGGTCTCGAGGCTGAACTCGTTCCTGGTGAACCTGGAAAGCAAGTTTGACTTTCCCACACCGGAGTCGCCTATCAGAACCACCTTGAAAAGGTAATCGTAATCATCTTCCGCTCTGTAACCCGCCATTCTGCTCTGATCTACGACCCGACCCGATCGGACTTGGGAGGAGGAAATCCGACGAGAAATTGGATCGGAATCGAGATGGTATGGGTTGACAGTTAGAAGTGCGATGTTGACTGTTTCACCATTGTTGTGATGACTGTAAAAGTTGTTTTTGCTTTCTGTTTTGAACAGTGGAAAGACTGCTGTCAATACAGGTTGTTTTGGGTGGACTCCGACGAGAAAATTGCCGACTGGGCCCTTCTTCTTCCTTTGTATTCGTTAAGGCCCAGTTGACAAATTTTCGAGTATATTAAGCCCAGCTGTGGCCCATTTTATATACTTTTATTGTTGTGTTGTAGAAATCGCTTCTTCAGAACAACGCTTTTGAAAAAATACATATTTTTTAGGGTAAATTACGGTCACCTCGCTGAGGTAAGTTTAAATTACGAAAAAAACCTCTCATGTTTTGATAATTACAACGACCCTTCTCAACTATGAATCTTTTTACACGTCTACTTTTGCGGCATTAAATTTAGTGAAATCTTCTAAATTATGTGGAATATTCTCCAGGTTCTACCCGTTTTACCCCATTAAAGCTCCAAATTTTGAAACAAGATGATCATAAAATGTGTTTCTTGACTTTTAAATATTAGATTTTTGCACAAAACGAGTACAAACTAAAGAACATTCTTCGGAATCTAGAAAATTTTGTTGAATTTAACGCCATAAGGATGGATGTGTAAGTAGATTCATAGTTGATGAGTGGTTGTAATTACTCAAACTGGATAGAAATTTTCGTAATTTGACATTACCTCGAAGAGGTAGGCATAATTTACCCTAATTTTTCAAATGAATGCCAAATTCTATTTTCGTTCCAAAAAGAAAAAGGAAATTAGAATGGAAAAAACAATTGTACTATAATCATGGAGTAAAGAAACACGTACCCAATTATTCACAATATGATAGCAAACTAATAAAATGGACTTGTTTCTCACAAGGACCATATTTTGGTTGACATGGAAACTCCAAGTCAACGGCCTATTAATTTTTTTATTTTAATATACATATATATATAGACAACCAATAAAAAGTCGATTGCCAAAAGATAATTAACCGATGATTGTTGGTTTTAAACAGGAACAGGAGGAGCAGATTGTTCTAAGCTTTCTTTCCCTGTAATGCCATCCTTCAATGTCTGAAAATAAACATTGTAATCTTTCTCCGGTGGAGGATTTTCTGGATCTACCGTATACGGTTCGCTGAACGGAATTACACTCTTTACCTGTATTAAAAAAAAAAATGTTTTACTAAGACGAGTGCAAAAGCTTCATTTTCAGCTTTCATCGAAGAATAAACGGAAAATCCACATATAACAACCTCGAATGTCTTGTCACATGCATAAGGGCTTTCCAGCGCAGCAATACACATCCGCGCAACCTCGTCCCTCGATATCTTCCCCTGTATTAATTACCAATATTAACCAAACACGAAACTATATCCATTTTACCGTAAAAATAAAATTCGATCGTTTTCCGATTTGTGTTCGTACGGTTATATTGTCTCCTTGCTCAACGATGAGATCTGCGCCAGCAGGTTCTTCGGTTAACGCACATGGCCTTATAATCGTATACGGAATCCCGCTTTCCCTTATCAAATCTTCCCCCTGCAAATTTAATTTAATTTAATCGGATGTTTAAACATGCATATTTGTAGTGATTAAATGACAAAGAAGAACCTTCAACTTGTATGTGAGAATGAAATCCAATTCCTTGTTCAATCTGACAGCTGGCGGTTGTTTGCTTAAATCGAGCCCCGGTCTATCGGGTCTAGTGACTCCTGCCGAGCCCACATGCACAAATCTGATAAATTACAAAGTTTATTAAAACCCGAAGCAACTCAAAATTTGAAGATATTTAATTAATAAAGGTTGTAAGGTAAATGAACCTGGGAGTGACGGGCTCCTTTAGGTAAGCCCGGATGGCTGATACAGGAAGCTGAAACGGGCCTTCTAGAAAAGTTGGGTTTAACTTTCCGTCGTACTCGAATTTGCTGAACATGAGCTGTAGATATTATACTATAAATACACTGCAGAAGAAAGGCGAATTTATTACACGGAGAAGTTTACGGAAAATCATGCCTGTAATGATATTATTTCGCTGGGGTTAAAAGGTGGTGCATCGACTACAGTTTTTGCTCGAAATATGGGCCTCAAAGAAGAGAAAGGCAAACAAACCTGGAATTAGGATAACCGAGCCATACGAGTTAGCATTGATTCACTAGAAATAAAAAAAAAAAAAAAAAAAAAATTAAAATCACGAACCGATTGCCATTGGTCCTTGACGGTGTCGAAGCCTACTGTATATCCAACTGTGTCCCAATCTCGACTAGTTCGAATAATGAGTTTATACCGAAGGCCATTGCCTTTAACACGTAACTCAAGACCATCATATGCAGATAGATCTTCCGGTATGGAGAAGTTCTGCAAGAAAATATTGGAAATAAAAAAGACAGAAATAAATAGTGGGATTATTAGTTACTATAGCCATAGGTTCTCTTTCAATGATTCGACTTAGATTCAGCGTCTGAATTATTTTTATACACGAAATTATTAGTTACCTTTGTCCTGACACTGGTAAACCGCCATTGTTCGTTGTGGAAACAATTCCTGAAGTAGAAAAATTTAAATTTAGATTAATTAATATAAATCCCGAGCCTTTGACGACAAATATTGCGTCAGTATTGGCTCTCGAAGGCTTGAAGATTGTTTTTTAATTCACTAAGAAGTG